GGCTTCCCATGCAGCATGGGAAGGTGGTGTCTCCACGTGTGTTTATGTGCAATCCCCGCTCACCCAGATCTGCTGAAGCTGTTCCCAAAGCACCAAACAGGAGCTGAGGAGCCCCAGAGACAGAAGGGAAGAGAGAGACAGCCAGAACAGCTGAAGGAGGCAGCAAGAGGGGACAGCTGCTCCCAACTTCCCAAGCACAAACCTGTTTACAAAGAACTGYGTCTCCAATAGTCTCAGAGTGATGTACCAGAGGAATAAAATGTTTTATTCTGATTGTCTGTCAGCCTGTGCCACCATACAGATGGCTCAGCACACGCTGACTGCAGTGATGATCCTGCTCTGTACAGTTTGTCTCCCTGCTGAAGGACACATGCTGCCTCCAAGCAAAGCAGGAATTCAGCTCTAGCACCACTGCAGATTAACATTTCTCCTCCTTTTTCACCATATGGTGCTTTAAGAGAAACAGCCGTGCGAGCTTCCAAGAGACCACGGCGCTCAAAGAATCCCGCTCTCTAAAAACATTCTTTTTTTTTTTTTTGCACAGATCTCCACATTCTTTGCTTGTTGCTCAGGCACAGAGAAACATTGAGGTGGACAAGCACGCGGGGAAGAGTGGGATCAGATTTTCCAGTGGCTGCACACCGGTCCTGCCCCTGCTCAGGGCTCTCAGGGGTGTGCAGAGCATGGCTCTCCTGTGTGTGTGAGCAGGGCAGGGCAGGGGGCACAGCTCCCTGGGGACGCCAGCCCCTTCCCCAAACAGCCCCCAGAGCCTGAGCAGGGCAGGGCTGGCAAAGGGCACAGCTCCCTGGGGACACCAGCCCCTTCCCCAAACAGCCCCCAGAGCCCCAGGAGGGCAGGGCTGCCACACAGCCACATCTGGAGCTTTCTTCAGAGCACTGAGGGTCTGAACATCAAACTCACAGCACAGGGGAGATGCCCTGAAGGAGTTCAGCAGAAAACTCATGGAAAGGAAATGGGATCTGCTGCTGGAACTCAGCTCCATTTGGGTTTGWGTGTGCACAGAGAGACACTGCAGGGCTGTCACAGAGCATCCCAACAGAAGCTCCCTCTGGAAGGTTYRGCTGCACTGGACATGAGCACAGAGWCTCACARTTTGTKTRTTGGAGYTTGTTCTCTGTGCATTTTCRCTGTCATTTCCATGGCAGTGAGAGAAGCACACCGATCTTTCTCCAGTGTTCAGCTGGGTTCTCAGTGATTGTGCAGGTTGTGATTCCCTCTGAGCAGATCCCTGGGCTCTCCTGCAGCCCTCACAGCCCTCTGCCTGCTCTAGGAATGGGTTGGAGCTCACCCCAGACCCTGTTGGCACAACTCAGAGCACAAAGGGCCAGAGCTTGAGGATTTCCCTCTGCAGCAGGCCTCTGCAATTCAGTCTAATATCGCCCAGCTGATTTCTGCAACTCAGAAGTGCTCAGCTTTGCCCCTTTGGGCCATGCAGGCTGCTGAGGAACCACAACAATATTCCTCTTCAGTACCCCAGAGTCAGGGAAGGGAGAAAGGGCACTCTGTTACTTCAGCATCCAAAAATAAATCCTATCCTGAACTGACCCTGTGAGATGCACAAGGACACTCCTGGACTGTGCTTTCCCCTGCACATCATCCATTTGAAACACTTGGTTTTAGGAGGGTTCTTCTTTTCTACAAGCACTTATATGAGTCAATAGTGTGCAGCCAGCAGCTCCTACTCACCCTCTGGGGTGCTGATTGCTCGGCCTGCCACAGCCAYGGTTCCTCCACTGGACTGTGGGCTCAGGCTTGGGAAAAGCCCTGCAAACAACAAGGGAATAATTAAGAAATGAAATAAAATGAAATACATTCAAAAATCAAGGGTTTAACTAGATCTGTGCAAACAAGCACGAGTTCAGAGCCAGAGAAGCCTGCAGCTGGCTCTTTTCTGAAGACAGGTTAAAACTCACAGGGCCTCACCTCAGATACTGCTTGAGAACAGAACAAGAACAAAGTAGGAAATAAACTGTCTCAATTTACCACTGAGTGGTCAAATATTATCTTAAAGCAAGAGAGAAGGCACAAAAATAAATGGTTTGGCCAAAGCTGACCATCACTTAAGTCAGTCATTCCACACATCCTCTGTTATTTGGCTTTGATTTTGAGCAAAAAAGTTTAGAGAGCAAAAAAGTTTAGAGAGCAAAAAAGTTTAGAGAGCAAAAAAGTTTAGAGAGCAAAAAAGTTTAGAGAGCAAAAAAGTTTAGAGAGCAAAAAAGTTTAGAGAGCAAAAAAGTTTAGAGAGCAAAAAAGTTTAGAGAATAAAGCATTTCGATCTTGCTGGCTGGCACTCCAGGGATTGGAGGAAGCCAGTGAACCCCTCCCTGCACCCTTGCTGAGTTTTTCTTGGTCACATCTCCCTGCCTTATTATTCAGGATAATCTGCAGCCAGCAGCTCCTACTCACCCGCTGGGGTGCTGATTGCTCGGCCTGCCACAGCCACGTTTCCTCCATTGGACTGTGGGCTCAGGTTTGGGGAGAGCCCTGCAAAGAAGAAATACATTCAAGAAACCAGGCTTTGAGCAGATCTGTGTGAGGAAGCTGCAGTGCAGAGGCAGAGCAGKGTGCAGCAGTGTTCCCACCTTGCTGGCTGGCACTCCAGGGCTCAGAGGATGGCAATGACCCCCTCCCCATGCTCTTGCTGTGCTTTTTCTTGGTCACATCTTCTGCTGCCTTCTTGGCAGCGTTCAGGATGGCCATGGTGGTCAGGGATGCTGCCCTAAGGCCAAAAACATGTCAGAAACKGATTTCCCTCTAAAAACCCTGATAAGATGCATGTAGTGAGGAGAGATCTGTCCCCTCCTGATCCYTTATCATCTTAAACACCAAATGATAGGAAGACGATGCTGCAACACCCATGACTTTCAAAGCACTAAGGAGTGGATCAGCAAAGCAATAAAAATAACTACAAATATATAAAAATAATTAATATAATTAATATGTAAAAATAATTATAAATAAATATAAAAATAATATAAAATAATATAAAAATAACATAAAAATAATATMTAGAATAATATATATAATATATAATAAATATATATTTATAATACATATAATACATAGAATAAATATTTATCTATAATATATAACAAATGTATAATGTATGTAATAAATACATATAAATAAATATAGAAATTTAATTTAATAAATATCTACAAATACATTTAAAATAAATGAATATAATATATAAATATATAAATAATATATTTCAATAATATATATTAATATATGTAATATGTATTTAGTATATATGTAATAAATATATATTTATTTATCATCTATGTAATATATAATGTATATAATAAATATCTCTAAATAAATATATAAAAATTAATATCTAAGAAAATTAATACAATAAATAACTACAAACAAATTGAAAATAAATTTAAAATAACTACAAATATATTACAAATACAAACATAAAATAACAGGTAACACAAAGAGGAGCCCATACTTGCGACGTGCCATTGGCTGAGCATCGGCTCTAGGTACAGCAAACTCAGAGGAAGGGATGGATGTGGATTGTGTCCCACCAGCAGAAGCCTGAGGAGTGTCATTATTCTGGCCACCAGAAGATGCAGMTCCCTCCAAAGATGGAGATTGCTGCAGAAAACAGGAGAAAAGGTAATATTTGTTAAGGGATACAGGGGCAGAAAACCCTAGGAGGAGCTTGGAGCCAAGGGTTTAAGGGCTGTGTGGTGGGTTTAAAGGGTGCTGGGGAGAAACCATTTATTGTCCAAAATTTTAACAAGTGAAGAGGGACACAAATGTTCCAGTTTAGGGGTCTGTATATGAGTGGTCTTTTGAAGTCTGCAGAGAAATGCACTCCCAGGCTACAAGTCATTTAGTCTGAAGGTAGGGATCTAAAGCAGTTCAGGACAATTAACTCAAGCACCTATTTATTTCTTTACACTGAATTTAAAAGAGGATCTGCCTGACTAGGACAGGTTTGAATTTCCACTCTGTGGACACCTGAAGTCAGACAAAGTGAACTCTTCTCTTTGTTACCAGTTTATCACYCTGGGAACAGAGAGAATAATTTAAGCCCAGCCAGTGCCAAATTAGACTTGGTTTTCCCTTTAAATTGCATTCTTCTTCCATTAATCATTTGCTGCTCCTCTTTGCTTTGTTTGTTGATGTTCTAAGCCTTTTAAATGACTCTGAAACCAAATCTTCTGTCAGGAAGTACAAAGTGGTAGGAAAACACTTCATAACCATCCTGTCCCAAGTGCTGGGGTCCACAGGCAGGGCCTGGGTGCTGTGAGCTCACAAAARTGAACAGAAGAGACACRTACAGAGATAAYRGCACCAAGGGTCTCCCCAAAAGCTGAGGAGGGCTGCTGTTGCTCCAGCTCCTTCTCCCTGGCCAGCTGCTCTTCATGTTTCCTCATGTCATACTCCAGCTCAGCTGCCAGCCGCTTGTCCAAAGCAAAAAACTCCTGGATTTCGTTTCGGTAATCTTGCATCATTTCCTGCAGTGAGAAGGAATATTTGGACCCTCTCAGAACTCTCCCCCAGCTCCTGATTCACATCCCCATTCAGCTCACAGCTGCTTGRGAGCAAAAGGAAACACCAGTTGGTAGAGCAGAGGTGTTTTTAACAGACTGAAGAGCTTCAACTCCAATTTGCTCTTCGGAACATGAAGAGCTTTCCAGCATTTAAGCTTTCTCCCTGCCCACGTTCCACACCAAGATCCTTATCTCCAATCCCTCCACCTCCCACATTATTTAACACAGTAGCAGTGTCACAACATCCTCTCTTGTGAATTCTTCCCTTCCAAGAAGGCTCCTTCGTTCTGGCAGTGGTTGCACACGCAGCACATTAATTCCAGAGAGAATGAAAACACCACGAAGAAAAGCAAGAAAACCCTTCCCCCTTACCCGCAGGTAGTTCATCAGGTCCTTAAGAGCWGGGATCCTCTTCTCCTCCATCAAATCCTTCAGTGATGTGATTACTGGGATGACCTCTTCTATTAAATTCTTCTTTTGAACCTTTTTGTGAACAAGGCAYGGGCAGTTACAGGTGGCAATGAAGGAGAAGCTGCTCTGAGGGTCCATGGATGGCCCAAGTGAGAGGAGCTCTCTCTCCCCAGCCAGGCAATTACTGTAATTAAGGCTGCTCTTACACCACACACGTGCACAGAGGCTTTTAACCCAAGTMGAGCCTTTTGAGATGCATCCCTGTGTCACTCATTTCTCACAGTGAAGGCAAATTGCCCCGACAGGCACAGAAAGCCCTTGTTAGGCTCAAATGCTTTGCAAGGAGAGGAGTGGGGAACAAATCCAGCTCAGCACAGCTCCACTGGCTGCTGGGGACAGGCATTTCTGATCCCTCTTGCTCCAGGACAAGCATCCCTCACCAATCTTGCCTTCACTTTTTGTTTTTYACAAGACACAGAGCTTCCCAGCCCTCTGCCCACAGCAATGCCCCTTACCTGCGAGATGAGCTTCTTCTGGGTCACCTGCATGACAGCATTGGCCATTGCCATCTCATCTTCCTCAGGGTCAATGTCCTCCTCAGGTTTTGACCTCATGCTTGACAGCTTGATTTCTTTGCAGCTAAGGACTGCAAAGGTGTCTGAGAGCAGTTCACTGGATTCCAGGTCCAAAGGAAGGAGCTCATCCACAAAGCAAGCTGGAACAACGAGCCAAAGTTAATTTATTTCACTGCAAACAGCAGTGATGGGAAAGCCAGGAAGATAAAACACCTGGATTAGGAGCTTCTATAGTGGTTTTTTGTTTTCCAGATTTTTTAAAAAAGGCAGAMCCTTACCCAGGATGTTGGTGGTGATGGTAGTGGTGATGTTGAACCTCTGTTCATCTGTGAAATGGTCCAGCAGGAAGGTGTAGATCCTCATCCTCTTCTCCTTGTTCTCCTTCCCCTTCAGAGAGAAGAGCTGCTTCGCCCTGTGGCAGAGCACGACATTTCACTGAAGCCCAAATCCCATTCTGCCAGCTCCCAGCAATAACAAGACCTTCAATCAGCTRGGGATATTTGCATATCACTTTTAAGACCCATAAACCTGTTAGGACACCACTCAGCCCTACAAATTACACGCAGCAGTGTCACAGGGAAAGCAGGACTCAGCTCAACTCTGCTTSCCCTGGCTTTTTCCACTCTGTTTCAGGTATAATTATGAAGTGACACAAATGCTGTGCTGTCACTGAGAGCTGCAGGAGCAGACAGCCCATAATTTAGCCGAAATCAGACAGAAATGTGCTCAACTGACCGSGGTCTCTGGGGGAACCTGTTGTACTTGGGGTGTTTCTCGTAGCTGTTGAAATGGAAGATGCACTCGATGAAATGCTGGGAGAACAGCCCAGGGTTCTTCTTCAGCATGACACGCAGCAGACARAACTCTGCCAGCCTGGAGAGAAGAAAAGGAAAGAAATTAGCACTGGATAATTGCTAAAAGCCACCCCTGAAACAGTGTGGGGCTCCCAAGGCACAAGATTGATTTCCTCTGCCTCAATATCCCATTTAATTCTTGCCTAGCTTCATTTGGGTTTGCACAAGGATAGCACCTCACTGATTTCCATCCTTTTTGCACCTCACTGATTTCCAGTGTCCCTTTTTGCAGAGGGACAGACTTTTCCAGCATCCACAGCACTACTTATTTTTATAGCAATTGAAGTAAACTGAGTCAGAAATAAATCTGAACTTGAATCCAGGCACAACATTTTAATTATTTGAATAACTTGGGTCCAACTGTGGCTGGGACACAGCCCTCAGCAGCAAGTTAATCACCCAAGGTCCTGCAAGGGCTGCAAGGCAACCCCAGACTTGAAGAACGTGGCTTTGTCTGGCTGCAGTCACTAAATGCAGATGCAAAGAAAAGGCTCCCAAAGAAACGGCACCAAGTTCCTGTAGGAACATGGTGCTGCAATGTCACCATCTACTGGAAAGAYATTTTAGATATTGAAAACACACTGAGGAGAAAAGGAAATGCAAACAGCTGCTGACAAAAGGTTGATGGTTCTGGAAATAGCCATCTCAAATTAACTCTTCCAGGCAGAAGAAAGCAGCGAGGTGTCCAGTCCTCCTTTGCATCTGGAATTTCTGCACAGCCTCCTATCTTGGAGGAAACCTGTCCCACTCATTTCTCACTGAACAGAGCAGCTGGAGACTTTGAAACCTCCAAAAACTTCATAAACAKGCACTTAAAACCAGGGTGCATAATTGCTCTGACACATCATCTGACAGGCCATTCCTCTGACAATGACAAGATTTGGCAGAAGGCTGAAAAGACAAGACATGCAAAATAAAATAAAAACTCAGCCCAACAAAATATTTAATCCTAGTTCTGAAACAAACCCAGCGGTTGAGACAGAGCCTGTCAGAAAACCACAAGGAAGATTTCAGAGAGGCTTGTCTCAAAAATTTTTTGGTTCTGGATAACTGAGTCCTAAACAGAGCAGAGCTGCACATTTTGAGGACAGCCAAGGACACACTTTGGGACTTTCAAATGACATGGAGAGAGGTTCATCACCTCTTTGCTACCACTGCAGACCCTAAAGGAAGTAGAGGTTAGTGGGATAATCTGGTTTCTCACTGGAATTTCTCTTCACAGTGTGAAGGTGCCAAGACTGAGACAGGTTTTCAGACATCTCTGACCTTGAGCTCCTCCATCATTTCACAGCTGAGTTTTTTTACCTGGCAATTTCTGGGACTGGATCCACCAAGACAATAACAAACCGAAAGAAAAGACCATCCTTCAATTTCACAAACTCCTCCTGTAAAAATCAGCAAACACAAAATTAACGACCCCAGCCAGGAAAACTTAGTGTGAACCTCTAAACTGTAGCCAGGTGAATGAACAAGCTGTAAAATCTCAGCCAGAGGTGCCCAAAATAAACCCCAAAACAAACCTCAAAATGACCCCAAGTGTTTTGGAGGATGTTTCAAGCAGCATAAWTGTCATAGCAGCATATCAAGGTTTACCCCAGGTATAAGGAATAAAGTAGAAAAATGAAAAATCTGGTCTCCCATCCCATGGCAGATGAGATCTTCAACACTGTTTTCAGAGCCAAATGCACTCCAAACGTGCCCTCCTGTGAACACGGGGAGGGTAAACATCTTGAGCCTCTCAACAATCACACCTCCAGAACAATCAGCAGAGACAGCAGGAGAGGAAAAAAGGTGTTGTGGTGCTTGTTACAGCCACTGATAGAGGAGCGAAACTGGAGGGAGTTCAAAGAAACCAAGATGAGAAAAGGGGCAACCATCRCCTAAAAATAACCTCATTATCCAACTGTGCTGTTGGTGTGAGCAGAAAAGGCAGGAACTAAACACAGCATTTCCACGTTGGATTAATTTTAAAAGTTGCATTAATTCCAGCCACGAGGCAGCTGAGGCTCACCTGGAGGAGGTTGGTGAGCTGGCTCAGGGCCTGCTCACGGATCAGGGGCTGTGTGTCGCGCAGGCACAGGGCGATGTCACCCATGTACCTGTCCACCATGGAGGTGTAGCGCATGCAGAGGTCACACAGCACGATGATGACGTTGTTGCGCACAGGGAGGTGTGGTGACACCTCCAGCTCACGGGCCAGTGTTGGCACAGACTCCTTGGCCAGCTCCTCGTGCTGCAGGCACAGCTTACCTGGGGAAGGGCAGCAGAGGGGCACAGCTGGCTGGGGATCCTCGTGCCCGGCCAGCCCAGCCCCGCTCGCTGCCTTCTTGGGGTCCAAACCCCATCGGGAAGTAAACAGGGGGAATAAACAAGAAACTCGAGCAAAACTGCATCATCTCTGAAGAAGACAGTGCCTCAAGTTCTTTCAAACTCCCCTTAGACCTATAGAATGGGTCTCTATGCCAAACTCCCTCCTTCACAGCAAACTATTTCTGTGTACAGGGTATTATTCAAAGCAGCTAAAAAGAACAGCCCCAGCTGTCATAGGCATAGCAGGGAGACACCCACCTCTGAGAGCATCACTGAACCAACTTAAAATAAAATAGCCTGCAATAGTTTGAACATCACTTCTCCCCGTTCCTGCGCAAAAGTATTCAACTTTCCAAAGCAATTAAAGGAAGAATAATGCTGCCTATCTGCAAAAGAAACTTGTTCCCAACCAGAGAAGTATTAAAAACCCAGAACTTTCACTTGGTGTTCCACAGAATCCTGGGAATGCATCTGAGCAGGCTTCTCTGAAAGCAGCATTTCACTCATGCTGAGGAGAACAAGGAACTGTGTGAAGTCATTCTGCTCTAAACAACATCAAAAGCACCAAGTTTTCTTCACCTTCTCTGGAGCATCTCACTGCAAGTGAGACAATCCTTCAGCACCCAGCTCTGAGCACAAGGAGAGCACAGCCCAGGGGGACACAGCTAATTCTTGATCACTATTAGTGCATTAACCACCTGGAGGAGCAGAGCTGGCAGGGCTCTGGTGCTGTGCCCAGCTTGTTTCCATGGATATTTGCAAAGCTCCGAGYTGAGGTAATGCAGACAGAGCACGGGGGCTYGCTGTCACAACTGACAGAGCTTTACAGGGAATTACTGAGGTTGGAAAAGWCCTCTGGGATCACTGAGTCCAACCTGTGATCGATTCCCACTTTGTCACCCAGCCCAGGGCACTGAGTGCCACATCCAGGCATTCCTTGGTTCCTCCAATCTTCCCCAGGCAGCCCCTTCCAATGTTTAACAACCCCTTCAGTGAAGAAATTCCTCCTCATGTCCAACCTRAGCCTCCCCTGGCACAGCTTGAGGCTGTTCCCTCTCATCCTGTCCCTTGTCACCCAGYTCCTCCCTCCTATCAGGGAGCTGTGGAGAGTGATGAGGACCCCCCCGAGCCTCCTCCTCTTCAGATTTTGGGCAGAACTTCACCAGAAGGGCTGAGATACACCAAGGCCCATTTCTAGGGCAGGGTGGCACTTACCCAAAGTGATGAATGCGTGAGCCCTGACCACGGTAGGCATGGCTGAGCCTCTGAACTGGGACAGCGACTGGGAACTGAGAAATTCCTTGCTGTCTGTGGAGGTGGACGTTGGAAAAGAACAGGTCAGGGGTGGATAAACACCYTGGGGAGCAGTGGTGCCATAAATGCAAAGCTAAAGGCAGAAGGAGAGCGGCTCACGTTGGTCCTCGCCGAAAGAAGAGGCCAGGATGGACTGGATCAGAAAGAAGATGGGYTTGCCCACCTTGGCTGGGCACATCTGGGCAGCATCACCCAGGAGRAAGAGGTGTTTCACCTGCAGAGAGAAAGCAGCACTGTGATCAAAAGCTCTGAGCTGCAGATGAAGCCAGCAGGAGTCGGTTCTTCTCCAAAAACAACTCCAAATCCCCTCAGTCCTTCCRAGGCGGTGGCTGGAGAACAGAAGGGGAGGCTTTGGAACAGAAATCCTGGGTGGGTGTGTTTGAGATGCTCCACCACCCCCCACATCTAATGAGACTGAAATACCCCTCAAAGCATTYCAGGCATTTCACAGACTTCTCTCCCAAACAGCTCATCTGAGAAGTTGGAGTGGAAAAGCAAGGGAAAAAACTACGTAATGTATTAAAAATACATGGGGTGCCATATCCTTAAAGCAACTGCTGGTGTGTGAAACTGCTGCKTGCTCCCAGGCCCGTAAATACAAGATTTCATCACACACAGAGGTCATGAAAATTCCTATTTTATGTAAAATAGGAAAAATCCTATCAATAATAAAAATCCTATAAAAATMMTAWTARAARTCCTATWAAATCCCAGTTTTTGGCATGAACTCTGAGGAACACCGACCCCAAGCACACCCTACACCCTATAAATAATCTGGGAAGGGGAACCAAACTTACCAGGACATCTTCCTGCAGCTGATCTGCTCCACCCTCTTTGAGGACTATATTGGAGATGTAGCTCTCACAGGTGGATACTAAATCTCCAAACACCTCGTTGAGCTGCTCCTGTTCCATAATTAAACAAAAATTAATTCAACACTTTATTAATTAAACAAAAGATAGCTGAAATATCTGTCCACACATGAATCCCTAATATCAAAAGTCTTTATATGCTTTTAATAATCTGGATCCCATTAAAATCAATCTGACAGTGCCTCAGAGCTTTRAAATTCTCCCTGCACATCAAAGGATGTGTGCAAGTGTCAAAACACCTTGGAAAATTCAGCTTTTAATGATCCACAGGCCTAAGTTTACTTCATTATAGAAATCACACAGACTTAAACAAAAAGGATTTGGGCGACTGTTTCATGTGCATCCAACACATTGGAGGTGTCTGTGTGAATTTTTAGATGTTGCWTGAAAAAAGCAGCTCCATTACCAAGAAAACATGATGAGAATTCCAAAGAGTGGAGGGGAAACAGAGGAAAAACCGATTGTCTATTGGATTGTGGTGAATATAAAGCATCATTTTGGGTTTTCCACCATCTCAAAGTGGTGATTTTGATAAAGAAATGCATGGATAAATGATAGCTGTTAGATTGGCTCAAATGACCAACTACAGGAACATCATCTGCATTTCATTTTAAGCCAACACTCTGTGGCGACTGTACCTACATGAGGTAGTTTCTGATTTTCTGATTGTCAGTTTAAAAACCCAGAAACCATCACCCCACCCTGGCTCCTGAGGCACAGAGTGCGCAGTTTTGCACACTATTTACTAAATTTTATTGAGATGCTTATTATAAAAGAGTTGTCCTCAACACTGAAAGAGAGCTCATCAGGGACAGAGACCTGAATCAGTTTGAGCTTCTTTGCAATTGTGTTCAGGCTSAGATCTCTATTTTACCAACAAAATATGGCCTGACTTCCCACTRTGGGAGCAGAACAAAGCCATGGCATAAAACAAATGGAGGCAGAAAAAAGTTATGTGCAAGTTATTAACTCCCTGTTTGGTCTGCTGGAAGAGGTCTAGAAAATATGTGCATCTCCAGCAGCTCTGATAGAGAACAGGCAGAGATTAAAGTATAAATCTGGGGCTTCAAACTGGACCAAGCCAGAGAAGCAGCTGCTGTAATAAAAGCACAGCAACAAGTTCCTTTTAGGAATTCTGAACATTTGGACAAAAGGCAAATGCAAGATATCTCAGAGGTGTGGGGGTAAAAACATTTGATTTCTCCCAAGTCCAGGCTCAGCCACGGGATGTTCTCCAGCACAAGTRCAGCGAAAATCAGAGCTGAGCAGAGCAGGCTGGAGCTGCTGGAGTGGGAGCCTCTTTTTTAGAACTCATCAGCCCACAGCCTGGAGACAGCAGCAGACACCCCCTGAGTGGGGAGCAGGCTATTTTCAAAGGGATATTTTAAGTCCCACCTGTGCCTCCTGTGGTGTTTCTGCAGAGGTCTGGCAGAGCTTGTGCAGGGCCTCCACGGCTGAGCTGATGGCTCGCAGGGGACACTGAAACTCCTTCAGCCAGTTCCAGATGCTCTCTGGAGATGAGATCACACATAAAAGGAGCATTTTTTTTCCGTGCTGATGGAGGAGGGGAGGCACAAAACCTCTGCAGGGCCYAGAGCCACTCACCCTTCAGCCCATCACAGGTTGTCTTGCAGAGGTGCTTYGCCACGTGCCCAATGACACACAGGACATGTCCCATGGTGTCACTGCTCACRTCCTGCTGCCTGCAACACCAAAAATGAACTCTGAGGCTCACCACTGAATCCCAGCTGAGCAACTCTCTCACCTGGGACATGCATTATTGAGGCAGACCTGTCAAAGGCAATGAAAACTCAAAGAGYTTAAGGAAGGAGGTGGTTACTGGACAGATCCGGTGGCTGTTGCTGGATTTCCAGCTGGAAAACTCCAGAGTTGAAGGGAAAACTGGGATTTAAGCAGCTAAAAGGCAATCTGTAGACGGCCACAAAGTGCTCCCTTTGCAGAATGGAGTTCAAAGCACACACTGACCTGCTGACTCTGTCCCAGTATTCAACCACCTTGGAATAATTCAGCTTGGGGAAAGAGCCTGCCCCYTTGGCAAGCAGCATCCAAGCCTCCCTGGAGTGCTCTGTCTCCAGGTGAGACATGACATTCATGGTGAAAGTGGAGGTGAGCTTCTTCTGCCTGGACCACACCTGGAAAGCTTTGTTCAGGTAACGGCTGCAGGGAAGGAAGGAAAGAGAWGTTAAAGGAGGAATAAACAAAACAGGAGGAAAAATCCAGTAAAATCCAGCATCTCTGTCCAAGGTACACTGGGCAACACTACGAAGCTGCCATTGCTGGGTATTCCTACTATTTGTGCCCAAAATTGATGCATTTACTGCACAATGTCAGGCTGACCCACTACAGATCTGGCAGCTTTGGGTGGATGCAGAGCTCTGGGCCTTCCAACTGGTACCATGATATGTAAGGAAGATGTAATTTCAGCCTTTTGTAACCAAGACTTTCTACAATAACAGCAGTTGTTATTCAATACTCAGAGTCAGAGAAAGGCCTGAGCTGGAAGGGACCTTTGGGGATCATCTCATTCCACTCCCTGCCGTGGGTAAGGACACCTTCCACCAYACCAGGGTGCTGAGAGCCTCACCCAGCCTGGCCATGAAGGCTCCCAGGGMTTCAACATCAAGGCATCATACCCTGCTCATTCCTCTGCATGACCCTACTTCCTGTTGGAAGAGCTGTCAGATTTCTCACATTGCAAGRTCCTGCAAAGTCCTGCAAGGTCCTGCAAGGTCAGGAGGAAGAAGGTGCCATGACTGTGCAAACCCCATCACCAAAAGGCCCCGAATCAGAGCGCTGACAGCTCCCCACACTGGCACAGCAGCACCAGCACTGGCTCATTTGCTATTTCAGAGCTATTATGCCCTGTTGACTAATAAACACACAGCTGTCTTTAATCAATGTTGTGTCCTTGTCATGCTGTGTGTCATCCCGTTCCTCCCGCTCCTTCCCACGGCAGGCAGGCTAATTCGATTTGTCACAAGACAAGTAACATATTGTACACGAGAATTAATACAAGGTGATGTTCTTGCTTTATATATCCTCTCTCGCTTCTGTCAGAGGAACACCTCCATTTGACTGAAATATTCATGTGCTAGCAATGCATCCAGCAAGGGATGTAATGATGCTGTGTGTGAGAATTTCAGACGGGGGAGAGAGCACAGGTGAGTGAAAATCCCTGACATGGAGCAAAGCTGAACCCTTCTCGCCACCTGCCAGCTCATCCATGCTCAACAGCTCTGTCCTGGGAGCTGGCAGGGCAACACAGGCACTGTTTCCACACAAGTTTCCATCTCTAGAATATAACACTGATAGTTTCAAGCAGGGAATTTGAGCAGCTTGAAAGAAATCCCAGAGAAAAATTTGGTTTCTCATCCTTGCCCAGCAGACAGCACGTGCATTTTAACAGCTGTGGTACCTAACAGCGTGTGGCCACACAGGGAATGAGAGCACAAATTCAGACTCTTAYCTCAGTCCTCCAGTCAATAGGTAATTTTCTTCTGTAAAGGAAAAGTTGTGTATTCTAATGGGATTAAAAGTAGAAAAAACCTCTGGGTTTTGTCCCTGAATGTTAACATAGGTAGRGAAGGGAAAAAGGCACTCACCTCAGGTCCTGGCATTCTGAAGACAAGAGGGACAGCAGGTCCCATGCCAGATTCTGTGTCCCAACACTGCTGCTGGATCTATGGTAAACTTTTATGTGTTGCAGTAAGAGCTGATCAAGGCAATCCAAGGCCTTTTCTTGGACAGAGCTCTCCACATCCGTCACAACGGGCAACACTCCATACAACCAGGCCTTCTGTACCAGGACATCGCTCTGCTGAGCCTGACAGAAACACATTTTTTAAATCATTAGGGCCTCCCAAATGCATGGGAAAGATCAGCAAAGGCCTCCAGATTCAGCTACAAACTTTGAAACTGAATTTTAATCAACCCCGACAACGTGGCAGCAGGTGGGACAGGGAAACTCAACATCACAAGGTCTTTAATCATCTCTGTGATAAATACCTGGTGTTTCTGCTAAAGTACTGCAACACTTTGTTTTGAGATYCTATAAAGAATTATAACAGGTTTGCAATAAGGCTGTGCAGCAGATGATTTAGCACAAAAAAAAAGAGCTTTGCTTAATATAAACCCTGTGCTCCAAGCCTGAGTTACGAACCCTTTGTGAATAAATAGAAAAGAAAGAAAAATATAGCAGTGCTATCATCCACACATTACATCTGAAAGTGATTCAGGKTTTTTTTTAACTTGAGAAGGCCAGCAACATAAACATTTTCTTCATGACACATAAATCAACAGCCAGAAAAATCAGYGTTTCCAACAGTTGGAAGCACTCTCCATAAATCACAAGTAGGTATTGGAGTGAGTCACGATTTCCGAGTCGAARGGGTGCCCAGAGAAGCTGTGGGATCCCTGCAAATGTCCAAGGCCAGGTTGGACAGAGCTTGGAGCAGCCTGGAACAGTGGAAAGTGTCCCTACTGAGTGCAGGGGGTGGCACTGGATGGRYTTTAAGGTCCCTTYCARCCCRAACCATTCTGGGATTGTGCACTTCCAACTGGTGCTGTGGGCATTTCCTTCTTCATGGCGGTAATTACTTTTTATCCTGGTTTTGGATAGGAAAAGAAGCCATGGCCATACTGAGAATGAGAGCACAGGCACAAAACACAACACCCTGAGTGAAAAACCAACTGGCTGCTTCATGACACCTATCCCATCCTGGGTGTGGCAGAATTCCCTTTTTCCCTCACCTGGAGCAGCTCGGTGATGGAGAGCAGCGACTGCTTGCGCACGGACACGGCGGGGTCACGGCAGTGCTCCTGCAGCACACCCACGTCCTCAGCCGTGCAGGCCACCAGCCCCTGCTTCAGGAGGGTCGCCAACACCTGCCAGCCAAACACCAGCAAAAGTTGGTCAGGAACACAGCARAGCAAAAATACAATCTACCCCCTACCCGCGCTGAGCTGAGATTTATCTCGCCTAGTGTGACACAGTACGTTAACGATTCATGAGCGCTGGGCACAGCCAGAGATGGAAAATGAAACAGAAAGCGTTGTTCCAGTCAGTGCTGCTCTGAAACAGCAGCTGGAGAGGGAGAATGRCACTGCTTCCCCTTGAAAATAACGTGCCTCTCACACGAGCCACGGCTTTTACTCAGCAATAAGGGAAGAGGGGATTTATTTTTATTTTTAATCGAAAAGCACTAAAACATGAATTGCAAAGCCCTAACTGGGAAGCTCAAATCAGSGTGTGAATTGAGGGGGAAGAGCTGGGGTGAAGAGGACTAACAGAGRAAGGCAGTCAGCAGCAGACACCTCTTTTTTAAAACAAGGAAATTTCCATTGAAGCACCTCCCTTTAAAAGACTTCATTAAAGAAATGAGCAGCWAGGAAAGCAGCACACAAGGAGGCTATAACCTAATCCCTTTGCTAACAAGGTCAAAACAAACTAAGCAGCTAATATGCTTCAGTTTATGAGGAAGTCTCTTAATTGAAATGCCTATTGACATTTGACAAGAGCCTCTCCTTGMAAATGACGGAATAACAGAACGCCAGCAAGGGTACTAGAGAAATTTCCATCATTATTGCCTGCATTATTTACTTATCAGCAGCTAGTAAACAAGATCTGTAATGCCTTTAAGGTACTCTGCAGGGAGAGCAGGAAGCTACAAGTGRGCAAAGTGACAGAGTTTGCTGCAAAACTATGACCTAATTAATGACTTAGCAGATTTTGGGTAATCACTGGGAGAAGGGAAAGATGCAAACCCCACCCTACCTGCAGAGCAGATTTCCTCACGTTGGTTTTCTCATCGCTAGCTCTCATTCTCAGGATGGCCATGATTTCTTTTCCTATTCAAAACCAGAATAAAAAGGAGTTACCCCCATGAAGAAGGAAATACCCACAGCACCGGTCGGAAGTGCACAATCCCAGAATGGTTTGGGTTGGAAGGGACYTTAAAGTCCATCCAGTGCCACCCCTGCCATGGGCAGGGACACCTCCCACTGTCCCAGGGTGCTCTAAGCTCTGTCCAGTCTGGCCTTGGACTTGCAGGGATCCAGGGGAAACCCCAGCCTCTCTGGGCACCCTAAAGCAGTGCAAAAACGAGCACAAATGGATCCCCAAAACTTTCAGAAGGACTGAAAAAAGCACAATTAAAATCACCCAGAACAATCCAGAACAAGGCACAAGCCAGAAGGCAAAACAAAGCCAAACAATTTCCCCAGCTCTTTCATTTGAAAGCACATCTTAATAGATCACAAAAGAAACTGATGAAACAAATTACCTGAGACATGCAGAAAAAAAAAAGAAAAAAAAGAAAAAAAAGGTGAATCTGTAATTTCTGACCTCTTCATTTGTCTACATAAAAGATGTCAGGTTGATATTCAGAGTCTGAGAGCTCATCAGATGAATCAGGCACAATTGAACAAAAGCCTGTGGCACAGGTAACTCTACTACCTGTGGGAAGGGCAGGCACAGGGCAGAGCAGAGACAAATGGAGGCAGCACAGAGGCAGGGGAGGCTMTGCAGAGCTCAGAACACCCACAGCCTCCTGTGAGTTTTGCCTCAGARCTCCACACAGCATCAAGTATTAATGCACAAACTGCTGTGTTTCATAGAGGGGAAATTACTGCCATTTATTAATTCCTCCAGGCTGCAGAATGGCAGCTGCAAAGCAGCACCTCAGAGTCTGAAAGGAAACCAGAGCACATCTCTCTTCTCTGAAAGCCAAGTTAGGGCTCAAATTTTACTTTGCACAGCCATATTCATATTTATTGCTGCATGTTGTCAGGAYAAAAAATACATCATCAAGGCAAAAAGTTATTAAATGACACACCAGTGAGTACACAGATCAATTATTTCTCACATTTTGAATCACTGGGCTATTAACTGGCCATAAGGACTTCTAGCATTTTACCATGGCTTTTAGGGTTTCTATTTATTGCTGTTTGTTAGATTTCTCCYAGCATTAAGTCAGATTTCCCAAAGATATGCCAAATTTGGAGATCTGTTACTTAGAGATTCACATGGACATCCATCCTGTTGCCATTAAAAAATAGGATTAGTCACAGGGAACTAATCAAAACTAGATTAAAAATAAATTTTTACCAAAGGAAGCAAAGGGACTTTGATCTGGGCTTTCTTAATGGGCAATCCCATCCTGCTCCTCCTGAGAGCAGCTGCACAGGAAAAGCACASGACCTTCACACTGCAAGATTTTGCTACTAAAATTGTCCAGTCTTCTGAAGGTAACCAAATAATCACATTTTGACATTGGTTTTTCTGATGTAGAAAAGAGGTGAAAAAAAAAGACAACGACAGAACCAAAAATCCCAAGTTCTAAATGGCTGAGAACTCCCAAGAGAAGGGAATGCTCAATGCTGGTGGGCAGAGGGAATTCTGCAGTGCACACCTCACCTTGCAGTTTATCCCCACCCTTCTTATTCTGCCCTTGAGTGCTGAGCATGTTTTGATTATCCCTGGCCAAGATTAATTTCTTTTCTAAAGGAAAAAATGAGCTGTTTGGTCTTCAGAGGAGAGCAAAATGAGCACAGGCATAAGCCAAGCACAAGCATGTGCCAGACAGCTTTGCTAATGCACCTTGACTGCCTCGGAGAGCCCTGCGTTTCAGCGTCCTCTGGAGCTCCAGACAAGTCTTTCTTCATTCCAGCCTTTTCTTAATTTGTTTTGCCAAGTGCCAAGTGTGTGCTCAGCGGGGTATGGGATACAAACCCAGGCATCCTCTGGCACGAGGAGCCTGTGACCAAACAGGGGACACACAATACCTTGAGTGGCCTGGAGGAGTTTTCTATCCGAGGGAGCAGATTAGGGGAATTTATCAGTGGAATGTTTTAAAATAGGAGAGCTTTCGATGGGGGAAATTTGGAGCCTGGCTCCTGGAGATAGGGAGAGTGAGATCCCATGTGAGGAGCAGYGTGAGGAGTGGAACAAAGGATGGGAAGAGTGCAGAGAATTGAATTGTCAGCGGTTCAAGGGAGGTGAGCGGCGAGAACTGAGAGCGCAGATCCTGGCAGGGGCCTAAAGGTTAGGAAGAAAAGCTTTTCCACACAAGAGGAAAAGAAAGGGAGAGGTTTAAAGGAGGAACATCCCGGCCACAAAAGCCAACTTACATGGTGATTTCATGCTATCAATAAATTAGAGGCAGCTTGCCATGCTGCATCAGGACATTTCGTGTGACGCTCTCACTTTCAATTTTCAGCCTGATGCTGCAGAGAAACAGATCCTTGCCTACAAAACGGTGCTGCTCAAAGGTGCTGYGCTTTACACAGCAAAATGTATTAGYTCTTTGTGCACTGGAGCAAGAGATTTAATTACCCTGAAATTCATGGAGCTACAAGTGTTATATCCCACATCAATTACCATCTTTTTAGGGAAGAAGAAATTACCTGCTTTCCAACAGGTGTTGCCACCACATTAATACCAACAGACACGAGCATTTCAGGATTAAATGTATTTCTTTAGACTTAAGTRGAAAGAGTACCTCTTCCTGGCTGGCAATTCCACCCCCTTCATCACCCCTAAGTGTTTTGTAACAGCTCTGCAGAAAGCTYTCTCCACTTCCTTTGAGAAATGGACAATGAGTACACTTCAGAAAGTCTGATTTTAATTAAGGCTTTGAATGGTTATCTAAAAAGGCTGCTTTAATTCTGACATACCACGAGGCCCACAAGTGTCACTGCTGGCCRTCTGCTTGGCAGTTTTGGAAGTTGGTGTGGTCCTCGGTGGACAGCTGGATGGGGCTGAGAGAAAAGATAAAAGCTGAAGAATAACAAAGGCATATATTCACCCAACAAGGAGATGGTTCAGTGTTAAACAGAGAGCCTCATGCATGCCCCAGGTTTAACAGATCTGTGTATTTTTAGGAAATGACATGCCAAGAAAAGCCTGAGACCTCCTGGAAAAGAATAACTCTATACTTTCTGCACTGACTGTCCCACTCACAGTGTTTGTGTTTGTTCCGACACTGTGTGGACAGAGGCTGCCAAGAAAGAGAAATAAAAAAGGAAACCAAACCAAGTATTTTAATTCTGGATACTCTGTCATTCCTATTTTTTTTCAGGCAAGCAATCTAACCGTGGGATGCCGTGTGCAGGCTCTGAATTGTGCCATCTGGCCTTTACCACACCTGAGGGAGCTCGGAATGCCAGTCACGAACAGAACAACTTAGCAGAAGCAAAAGGCAACTCAAGATTTAATCAGCTCTCAGGCAAGAATGAACTCCTTTTTTTAGGTTTTTTTTTCCAATGAGCAATTTCAGTTGTCTGTAAACATCCTTCAAAGGGACCTCACGGATSAATCTCTTTAGAACTGATACACGAGAATAAATCCCTTCCAAATATAAGGCTTCACAAGTAACAAGGCATGAATTACTTCTCATTATGACACAATACGTAAGGACTCTATGTGCCAATTTTTAAGTTCCTGACAACTCCTACCTCCCAGCAATTATTCCCTAGAAAGTTCAAGAATGACTTCCATTACCTAATGTGCCCATAATACTCACAGCTCTGTAGTAAGTCCTGAATGCTCTCCAAGATAGCTGCAGTTTTCATTTCGAGACAATGGGCAAAGCTGCTGAGAGCTTTGCTCCGCACCACGGCGGCTCTGTCTGAGCACCGGCCAAACACCATGACCTGCACTAAAAACTTGTGCTTCAAAAACCTCTGGAGTTCTGGGGGCAGGGAGGTGCCTGGGTTCCTCTCAGGCAGCTCCAACAAAGCCAAAGCTGCATCCAGGGCAAAGACTCTGCAGGAAACCTGCAGGAAGAAAAAGCCCAAAATGTGCTGTTAATGCAAGTGAACACAGAGTTTTCTYGCCTCTGGCTACCAGCAGTGACAGAGCTATTCAGCGCTCAGATTGAACCCTTCACCTCCAAAACATCAAGGAGATGCACTTACTTTGCCCAGTGAGAATTTGTAAAGCCAGGCAATGAATGAGGCAAACTCTTTAGATGGAAATTTGTCCAGCAGGGTCACCAGGGCCTGGGCAGCGTTGGTGCGATACTCAGCCTTGTCTGGCACCTAAAAACAGGGGCAAGGGCAGCCTGGGATACTTCTCTGCTCTGCTCTGGATGCCAGAAAGGCATTTCAGGGCTTCAGAAAAGTATTTTTTTAATTTAATGAGCTGATTATGGTCACATTCAACAACAGCTGGGAGAATCATCGCAGCTCCCTCAGTCACTGTTTAACCACCACAGGTTTTCAATCCTTACAAAACATTGTGAAAACAGATTTCCTGACTATTATAAATATTCCAGTGTATCCACATGAGTTCCTCAGCTCCAGAAGCAGCAGAGCCTGGCATACCTTGTCACAGACATGTTGGAGGAATATCCGGAGAAGAGGAAAAACAGCTTCTTTCAGCTCATCTACCAGAGAACTGCACAGGAGAGAGAGAGAAGCAGATTTTATCAAAGCTGGTTTAGAACAGAAGAAAAAAATCAAGGATATTCCTTTCAGAATGCATTTGAAACCTCAGGAAAAGTAGCCATTCTGGAATCATGAGTGCAGCAGGATATGCTCAGAGAACCCTACTTAATTTGCACATTAACCTGGCTTTGCAGGCACAAAAGAATTTCTTCCCATACTTTTCTAACAACTAGAAGGGTAACATGAAAAGCTTCTTTGTTCTCAATCTACTTTTATATGTTGTCTGGGGATCCCTGCACAAACTACACTTCCAACAACATGGATCCCCAGTAGGGGGAATAATAAACATAAGCAAAACATATCATTAGGCAGGAGAAATCAAATAACTAAGGAGGAACGAGCTCCATGTTAATCTTCCACTTCCGTTGCAATTCTCTGCAGTAAAACACGAGACCTGAAAAACTGACACAAAGCAAAATACAGAAAATGGGTCCTTTCCACTCACCACCACTTTCCTGTCAAACAGAACCTTCTTTCCTCTCTGCCAGCAAACTCAGTAAATTCCCATTCCAGACGTTTTAATTAAGCCTCATTTGCACAAACAACTTCAAAGCCAGTGCCAGTTTGTCTCATCCCTTTATCACCTCAACAGCAAAGCAAAGGCATGCCAGAAGAAAGGAGCAGCCATGCTCAGAGCTCTGGAGCTCACCTGATGAATTTTACAGCCAAGTTCYTGGCACTGGTCACAGCTGATGTGATGGCAAGGGGCTCACGCTTGGAATTCCCTCTGCCTTTCACCATCAGAAYGACATTGAGGAGTCGATTGAAGACACAGCGAAGAGTCTGGAAAGAAGAGGTTGTGTTCAGGTTCTTTTCCATGGATAAGCATTCCAGGKTCATGAGATAGTTCTGAATCGAGCTTAGAACCAACAGCACAGGTTAAAGCATGACGGCTAGCAGAGAAATTCCAAGAGGACATTTTAATACACACAACAGCTTTCCTGGCTCTGATGCTCTTACACGAGCTCAGCAAGGTCTGAGAAGGGCTTTCTGAAATCATTCATAGATCCCTTCCAAAGCTGTGGACTTCAATTCCCCAGAAACATTTGGAATTTGAGAAAATTCATTGGGTTTTGCACCTGAGGCATCTTAAGCTAAATACCAGGGTTTTTTTTCACGTTGTTCACTTGAACTTTCAGACTTTCCTCCCTGCCAGACTTTTGCCTTGGGATCCTGCCATTCCCTGAACGAGGAGAGGCAGGGAAGATGGGACAGCTCTAGGAAGAGGAGTGACTACACCTTCCTGTCACCACAAATATCAAAAGGCTCATGATGCACTGAGAAACCAGGGAGGCACAAACACACTGGCCCAGGGCTGCTGAAGCTGGGCAGGCACTCAGGAATAACCAGGTYGGTTTGTACCCCAGGCTTTCCTGACTAGACAGCTGCTGATTGCAGCCTGCAGGCTCGGAACCAGCCCAGAGGGGACACATGGATCACAGACACAGCTTGGGCACACCCAGACTTCAACAGCCCCAGCCAGGGCAGCTGCACTCAGACAAGTGGAGATGCCCTTCTTGTCAATTTAACCAAATAAAGATGGAAAGTTTCTGGCAGAACTGGCTGCTCTGTGATCACTCTGAGCAAGAGCCAGCCCTGCTCACCACAACTAAGTGCTCAGAGCACTGCACAGCCCAACCCCTCACGCTGCCAGGCGGTGCTGCAGCTCCATCTAGCAGGGAATCACAACATCCCAGGCAAAGGCAGCCACCTGGAATCCTCTTCTTTAAAATTCAGACCTCCAATGCCACTGCAGCTCTCCTCTGTTTTCAATTCATTTGCCACAGGAATCAGYAGAGCATGGAATTTGCTGCACACAAATGCAGGAGCAAAGAAGCCCAAGGGGATAAGGAAGGGGGGTGGAAAAGAAACATCTTTGCCCTGACCCAGCAAACACCTGCACAGGCACAAAGAGGGAAACTGAAAAGTAAAAACCATGCAAGCAAAAATGACAAGCAGAGAAGGAAAGAAACAACCACTTGTCCTCAATGCTGCTGTGAGGATGTTAAAGGTCTTGATTAACTCTTACCTCATCTTCTCTACCGTGGAGAGGGGAGCACAGTAAGTACAGTCCATAATAGGCCAGCTCAGGAATGTACTTGGCATTCTTAATGCCCCTAAGGGAAGAAGGCAAAGAGATGTGTTTCCCTCTTATCAGACTAACTATGATTATTAAAAGAGCTCATTGACTGGAAAACATTCACAAGATGCTGTTTGCTGATAGCAGGTGGAACATGTTCTAATTATCTTTTTAAGAGAATTTGTCACTTCCATTTTTGTCCAAAAAGGATGATAACACAAACACTGAGGGCTTTACTTGTTCAAAGTGATGCTGGAATGATTTTTGCCTTTTTTCTTTTATATGTTTGTAACCTTCCCAGTAWTTTTCCTTCCCCTTTTCCCCAACTGGAAAACCAAATACATTCCAGRGCTCTGAGCCCTGGGGGTACAAAGCCCCCATCCCATCCTGGTTCTTCCTGGGAACCAAAGGCTGTGAGAACCATTTTCATAACCAAATATAGCCRGGACCAAGGGTGGGGGGCTGCAGAGAAGGGGCTTGACCTGGGGGGRATTGCATCACCACTTRTCCTCCTAATTGGTGCTTTTTATCACCATCAAACCTATCAAACTCTATTCACCGCTGCGGGGCTTTTGTGGATATTCTTCCATGACAGCTTCAATAAAGCCCCACTYTTATATCATCTCCTATACTAGAATTATCTCAAGCTTCATTTCTAAGCTGAAAAAGGCAACAAAAGCACTGTATAAATATTAAGAATTTTTAAGAATTACTTGCTCACATTGCTGCTGAGAATTGGACCTCGTTGAGCACTGACTCGAAGGTGGTCATTGCAACAAAGACCTGCAAGGGAAGAGAGCCAAGCTGAGCTCAGTCACCTGAGGGGAGGATGTGCAGGGGTGTCTGGGGTCACACCATTGGTTTTAACTTCCAAACACCTCACTTGAAGCAGAACATAAGCAGAGCCCAAAGCCCAGAAGCTCCCCCTTGTGAGRGTTAAGCATCTCAGAACAAGTGGAGGCTGCTCCATCGCTGGAAATGTTCAAGRCCAGGTTGGAYRTGGATTGGGACAACCTGGGACAGKGGAAGRTSYCCCTGCCCRTGGCAGGGGRTGGGAYAAGATGAACTTTAAGRTCCCTTCCAACCCAAACCATTCTGATTCCACGAACAAGACACCTGGAATATGCCAGCAAGTGTCAGCATGAGAGACAGACACAGAGCAGGTGCCCTGCTCCAACATTTCCACAAATTCCCATCAGGGACCGGGTGATGGAAGGCAGGCTCACCACCCCTCCCCGTGGAATGCTCTGCAYCCACAAAAAGTTTGTGTTAGAGGAKCTAASGYTCCTCAAATTKAATCTTTCYTACCTGCAGGCAGGTCTGCATGCACTGAGGCTTTTCCTTCAGGGAGAAATTGGGCAGAAGTCGTAAGAAGTTTTTCAAAAGAAGGAAGATTGCACTGCGGATCTGTTGAAGATCTTGYGTTGTGAAGTAAACATCTTCACCATCCTCTTCCCCCTCCAACATCTCATCCCCCTCCACCATCATCAACTATATTGGCAGAAAAGAGAAACAGCTTGTAAACAATTTGCTTATTAACAGGGATTTATATCTGAAGAGATTGCACAAACATCTTACACTGGAGTTTTCATTCCTGCTTGGTTTTGCTTTCTTTCTGTTTCTTCTGGCATTGGGCTGTGAGCTCTGAGCAACAGTCTTCTTTCTTTTCTCTGGTACTTGAGGCCAGCATTTTGTGAGGGTCTGAAGACACTCATCAAACATCACTTGATGGAACAGCTGGTTGGCTCTGCTGCCTGCCCATAAAAGACAACATCAGTCCTCTTCCAGACAAAATACAGAGAGCATTAAACCATCTGGGCATCACATCCCATCCCTGGGAGTGCTCAAGSCCAGGCTGGAGTGACATGCTCTAGGAGAAAGTGCCCCTGCCCATGGAATGAGASGATTTGGAAGGTCCCTCCTAACCCAAACCAGCCTGGGGCTCTGTGRTGTCTCCACAGGAGTTGTCCCAGAGCCTAAGGAAGTTCAAGAGAAGAATAAAGAGCTGCTTGAACTGCACCAGGCTGATGCATCATCAGCAGTGACACAATCCAGCAGGGTCACCAGCTGACTGACCCCCTCTAGCTGCATCATGAAGATCAGCAAAACTTTCAGGCATGCTGGAATACAAAAAGGTCCTGCTGTGAACAAACCTGCTGCAAACACCCAGCTGCTGGCTGTTTTGAACTGATACTTTTATTTTCACAAACAAACCCATTCAGCTGCACTGCACCGTGAAATATTCCCCAGTGACAGAGCAGGGACAGGAATAAGCTCCTGCCTTCACTGTCAGAGCAGAGGGATCTGTGTGGYTGCAGCTCTGTGCCCCGTGCAGCTCCTCTGTCACCTTGTCACAGGACACAGAGCACACTGAGGCCATCAAAGCCCTCTGTGACAGGAGACCAGGCTGCCACCAGCCCGTGACACTCTCAGCACTCCCCACACGCTCAGCTCTGCCACTGAGGCTTGCAGAGACATCAAGCCAACAACACTTGTTCCACCTGGAATTGCTGTAAACCTGCTCCTTCCTGAACTCTGCTATATCCAGCAATAAAGAGCACATCCTGAGGCTCACCTGGGATCTCCAGCAGCAGGAAATACAGCCCAGCTGAGTGCAGACCAAACACCCTCTGCTGTGCATTTGCTCTCTTCTGCTGGCCCACGTGCACAAAGTGATGCAGCACGGCCACCAGGGCCTGGTGGGACAGGCTGTTCTCAGCAAACAAGCTCCAGATATTCTGAGGCAAAACAGGCAAGGAATAATAAGAAATCCTGATGTCCAAAATCAGCCATTATTCAGATTTTAACAGTTGCCACTGTGACCAAACCCCTATGTATTGTTACATGCTTTAAAAATTAGTAATTATAATACATAACACTGTATATCTTTAACATGCTAAATTATATTATTAAAATTTGGGAATAGGTTCCTTCTGGAGCTTTCCAGCACACAGGAAAAGAATTGTTTGAATAGTTTTTGAATATTTTGTGAATTTAAAGGCAAGACAGATGTGAAAAACAGAAGGTGAGAGTGGCTGGCTGTGTGTTCAGGTGATGTCACCTCTTGGCACTCCTGGTTCTCGACAGCAAAGGGCGCCAGAGCATCGTACAGGCATGTAAAGGTGTCGAGCCCCTCGGTTGTGATCTCCTCCTCTATTCTGGGATCCAGGGGCTCGGTCTCCGTGAAATCCAGATCCCACACCGTGTCCACCCACGCTGAGGGAAAAGAAAAAAGTGTTTATCAGCGCCAGGGGCGAGATTTCTCCAAAACACGCGTTTCACCCAGAATAAAGCTCAAAAAAACCCCCGCGAATACCTAAATCCAGCAAGATATGGGCGTGCTAAAGACAGCCGCTGTCAGGGTCAGAAGTCAGAGCCTCCCGCTCCTTGGTGTCACCCCGGGACCGGGAGAGAGCCGACCCGGGACCGGGACAGAGACCGGAACAGAGAAAACGGGAGAAAAACACAGACCGCGGCACTGGGACAGAGAGACCGGGACAGAGACTGACAAAAAGGCTGGGACGGGGACACAGAGACAGAGAGCGGGATCGAGACCAGGACAGAGGGAACGGCAGAAACAGAGACCGGGAACGGCACAGAGAGACCGGAGCATAGACTGACACCAGGACTGGGACTGGGACAC